TATCCTATCGTTCAGCAGCTTACAGAACACTTTTCCTACTGTGTTCAGCAGTGTGATGCCTCTGTAGTTTCCTGGGTCAGTTTTGTCTCCTTTCTTGAACAAGTTCACGACTACTCCTCCCCTCCATCTACTTGGCATATACTCCTTTTTCCACACCCAATTGTACAGCAGTACCATCAGCTGGACCATCCCCTTCCCCCCAAACGTCATCAACTCGTTGACTATCCCATCCGCTCCTGCTGCTTTGTGGCACTTCAGCTTGTTCACACACGCCTCAACCTCGTCCTCAGTGAACTCCTTTTCTAGTTCTACGTTCCCAACGTCTGCCTTCGATGTCTCTTCTTCTTTTTGGGCCCATGCGTCCACCTCCTTCTTAAACACTTGGTCAAAAGCTTCATTCTCCGAGGGCACTCCAAGTCTCTTGTAGTGTCCTGCTAGAACTTCCCTTTTTCCCTTCCCACTGCTGACTAATCCACCGTTCACACCTCGCAAAGTTGCTACCCCTGTATCCCCCCCTTGCGCGGTCTTCTTTAAATTCCACTAATCCCTTCCCACATCTGCTTGACGTTCCCCTCCAGGCCTTCGTTGGCCTTTTGCACTACTTCGTCCGAATTGCACTTCATCTTTCTCACTAGTCCCTTCACCTGTTTTCTCTTGGCCCTGTACTTTTCCCAACTCTCCTCAGACGCCTCACTCAGGTACTGCTTGAAGACTTTTCTACGTTCCCCTATTTCTTCTTTCAGCTCGTCATCCCACCACTTAACCGATACCCCACATCGTACCACCTTCGTTCCCACTACTCTCTCTGCCGTTGCGTTCACGATGGACTCCCACCCTTCATCACCCTGTCCCCTGCTGCTTGTATGTCTACCTGTCCGTCTTCGACGCTTCTCGGCAGTTTTCTGAGGGGTTCTACACTACCAGCCAGGCTGAGGGGGGGTGCACTACTGTAAACGCATACCGTAATTGTTGGACCATTGACTTCGCATCCCTACATTGCCGGGACGGAGCGACATGCCGGGTTTTCGCCGGTCCAGGCCATGTTTCACAGGGGTTGGGTGGGTGGGGGGCAAGGCCGAGGAATGGCGTATCCATCGCGTCCCTCGCCCAAAGCGAGTGATCCCCCCTTTGAAATACGATATGCATACAACAAAGCATGTTTCACCACCGTTCAGCCACTCCATGACGTTCCTACTCAAGTTCTCCACAACATGAAAACAGAGAAGCACCCTACTGGAGTAAATACCACGGGGGGACCTACAATAGACGCCAGACTGGACAATTATGCTACGAGCCTCAATGCGTACAGACACTTTCCTCTAGGTTGCTCGACGCCTGGTCGGAGCACCAGCAAGGGAGGTCGTCACCTCGCGAAGGGTTTCAATGTTGTATCATCTTCAAGGTTAGCCACAACTCTAGCTCGAAACAGCGCGTTCGTTGGCCGTGCACGCGACAGCCCGCTGAAGTCTTCGAAAATTTCTTTTGAGCGCTCGCCGTTCTAGGTGCTAGGCGAACTCCGCCTGTGTGTGGGGGTCCTGAAATACGTCGAACCGCACCCAATTCCCACCTGTGAACAACCAAGACCTCGTGCGTCGAATGCCACATCCGCTGCTGCCATATTCGGTAGCAACAACCAACTGATACATAAGCCGACTTACATTTTCGTGCGAAGCAACAAAAACAGAAGCCCGGCCGCATGCATGTGTTGGCCGCGCAACAACACACCAGAATCACAACCCAACCCAAATGGCACCAACTGCTAAGGCACTGACGGCGTTCATCGCTCAGCTTGGTAGCGCCTTGGGGATGCTACGCATTACACCGTCCGCCAACACATGAGAAGATGCAAAGCTACTACCATCCCGCCACCGCCCGAACAACGCACCTTGGGTGCGCCCACGATGAAGTCGCCCTGGGCGCCGACCAAGAGAGAGGAGCCCACGGCCATGCACGTGGAGGTCCTCATCCAGTTGCCCTCCACGTCAAGTGTCGCCCGCGTGGACGACTTGCCTACCGTGTGCTCCATGCTGACCTCACCCTTAAGCACGTCGTTCACCTATTTGGCGCGCGCGTTTCGAAGGATGCGATATGGGTGTATTTTTAAAGTGCTGGCATCGACCACGTTCACCGACCGACCAATGAAAATGCGTCAGTCTCAGCGAGGTTCAAGACAGAAAATGCTTCTAAATGCCACTATTTAGCTGGCTGGGACCCCGTGGTGCGTGTGTGTGTTTATGATTGGCCTCGGCCGCTCTACTGCTGTAGCCGGCTCACCCAAGGAACAAGTCGTCAGTCCGAACGGCACATCTTGGCCCTCAGTACGAATACTACAGGCGTGGAAGGAGAGTGGGCGACGAAGGCCTGTTCGCCTACAAGAAGCGACTGAAAGCATTTCGAAAGCACAACTGATTTCCCCGAAAAACGAGATCCATGCCACAGAGACCGGAAAAATATAGGGACAAAAATGTATTGTCCACCAAGCCATGCGAAACATGAGAAAAAAAACGAGCTTTTTCACGCCAGATCTTCCACTTGTTTCCAACAAATGCCAGTCACAGTAGTGTCGTGCCTACGACCACAACTGCAAGGACGGTTCCAAAGGAAACGCCTACGCCCGCCAGGAACGTCGTTATAAATGCATACACACCTTGGCGACAAGCTTGACGTTCTTGGCGATGTCCCTCCTGGACGCCTCCAGCCCCATGCTGCCGTCGGGGTTGAGCTGAAGACAAAAACGAACACAAACGACGAGTCAGCGGTGAAGGCCTACTGGCAACGAATACCGTAAGGGTGCAGGTTTCCGCACAGGAGTGTTCGCGTATTTCAAAGCTTTCCTACTCCGCAACCAGGAGGGTGCTAAGGCCAAACATCACATCTAAGGAAAGACCTCGATGAGATAATTCCAAAACCGCCCTTTTCGGCAGTGTTGCCTTCCTAATTGTCCAGTGGGGAGGCTTAGAAAAATGTTAACACCCGTGTGCGGACACCCGCATCCTTACGGTAGGCACTCAACCAAGTACGTACACAGGCCTACCGCCCGTGTTCGTCAAATATCTCTCGTGGCTGCGCCTCTCAAGCGGGTGTGCCTCAAGGCCTACATCAGGCGTTCCGGTATTCTATGAGGAAGTTTGGTCCTGGTACGCAACCTTCTCCCCGACTTCCTCACTCTCGCACCTTCGCCTTGTCGATGGAGACCCCAGACTTGGCGTGGAAGAACTTGGCCTCCAACGCGCCGTTGACGCCCTTACTGTGCTCGCTCTTGGCGGTGACCGTCACGCCGTGCGGGGTGGTGTGCTTCATCTTAAGCGTTCGCTTCAAGCTGTAGTCATCGCTGAGGATGTCTGTCGTAGAAGGGAGCGGCAGTGCGGGAAGAGGTAAGGGAGCTGGGCGGAAGGGAGGGCTAGTTTCTCACTTATTGGTGAGTTCTCGTAAAGCGAAGCACGAAACCTCCGAGACATGTGTTGGGTGATGCGTGTAGTACATACACACCCAGAGAGAAAGAGTAAGGGTTGCGCATGACCAGGGCGACAGGAACGGCACAGCATGTGCTTGGTGTATCTAGAACCAGAGGTCTGCTTGTGAGCTTACGAGGTTTGCTGGAAAAGTTGTTCGTTGAAACTGCTAGGGCATGGCCATTCGCTGGGCGTGCATGTCGCTTCCAAGTCCGTGATTACCTTTCGCACGCGCTCGAGATGTTCATCACTTTCCGCGATTTGCGTTGAAGGGCTCATTATCCGTGATTTCACCAAAGTTTCAAAGTAAGGGGGTAGGCCAAAGATAAATCTCGGGCATACTTCATCCCCCAAATCAAACTCTCTACCGCATACGAACATGTAGTCTTCGGGGTTAAACGAGAGCTGCGTCGGTGTGACGAAAGCATGCCGCCGTGTGCTGAAAATCAATCTTAGATGTCCACACCGTGCACACCCGTCCACGTTTCGGAGCGTGTTCTTGAAAACACAGACAAAAACAATGTGGAGGTTGATGTAATTGCCCTCCCAAAACTGCCCTATGAGGTAGTGTGTTTCAAAGGTGAGGGGCCGGATTCCCCGAGAAACTCTGGATGAACTCGAACGCAAGCGCAACTCTCTGGCACTTTTGCAAGGTGTATCGTAACTAAACTGCCGAACGGTTATCCTCGTATCGTATCCACTGCGACACCAACGCCAACTCCATACCACCCAGATCACACGAGCAAAAACATCGACGAAAGCAAAAAAAAATGCAGTGCATCTAACATGGCGTGCAAGGGTGTACAAACAGAGAGCGCGGGGCGTTGATGATGAAGGCATACTAATTCGAGTGTGAGGAGGCCACGTCCGCGTCGATGCAGCACCAGAAAAATTGTGTGTACCTAGCAGAAATGGCACGTGGATGAATTCAGAGTGTGCTGCTGTTGAATGCATTACCGCCGTACATGTATTGGTCCAATCTGTCTGCGCTACTGCTGTATGTAGAGTAAGTATCGTGTATGAGCCGGGTTGACAACGGCGCTTACTTCTTTCATGCCCTTACCGACCCGCCTGCGGTGCCTGCGTACAAGAATAGCCAAGAGAGACGCCAACGCGTGAAAGAACGAAGAGATTCAGGAGGCCTCAGCACTAACCGGCGCGCTGGTGTTATATGCCACCTACAGCAGCAACCCAACGCATGCCACCTTTGACACAGGAAATATTATCGTCCAGGAACATAACCTTGCGGCACCATATTATATGCATAACGCTGGGTTTTAGTCCCAAAAAAGGTTGCTATGCACATCATCGCATACGTCGCTACGTCGACATCACATCACACCATGACGCAGGTAAATAAACAGTAGATATTCTCGCATAAAACAGAACAATACCTGTCTCCTACACACCCGGTAGTCATAACAATACCTGTACTGCTGTATCCTATCCTATTTAGTGCTGTCTATTAAATGACCTCCACTCGTCAAGAACCGTGTAATTAGAATATATGCAAACATATATCTATGCCGCATCTGTTCGTCGGCAAGGCATTTCTCCTTCAAAAGGGTCCAGTAAAATTACAGAGCGTACGGTGAGAAGACACACGTAGGCTTACATGCGTAAACGTTCCGTTTGTGATTCACATGACCACAGAGTCACAGAGTGGAGGCAGACGGAGAAAGGTCATGAGTGTAGTGATACAAGAGCAGGCGTAACACAGCTGGGCTCGCAAGCAACAGGATCTGCCGCCCAGGATGCAAAACGTTACCATTGCCGATCTTGCACAGCGGGGGGCGGTCTGCAGTTTTCGCCCTCTGGCTTGGTGCACTTGCGTTGCGAACTCAATTCGCGAACGCGGTGTTATTATTTGCGGTGACTATTCCGCGGCTCCCTGGAGGTTTTGGTACACTTTCGGGGAAGGCCAAGATACCACCCGTGTGTGTGTAGGGGTGAAATGACGATCGATCCGAGGGTCGAAGGCACGATTCTAACGCCACGAGAGACCAACGACTCACCCCTCGCCACCTTGTTGAGGTCGTTGTAGAACACCACCATCTACCGCGCGTTTAAGCGTGAGGTTGCGATTTCCCGTCCGATACGCCGACCGCCAAACAGCCACAGCCAAGCCCGAGCCGACACAAGAGAGGCGAACACCGGCAGACGAAAGACCAAGAATCACGCGGTGGGCGGGAACACGCGGGAGAGAGAGAGCACCGCGAGAGTGCGTGAAGAAGAGCAAGAGGACGAGGCCCTGACGTTCACTAGGGAAATCGGTCAGTGTGAAGCACGGAATGCGAACCCAACAGCAGCAGCAACAGCAGCAGCAGCGCCTGCGCTGCACACGCAATCAGTAGTAGGCTTTTTGCACACATTTCGAGACGAAATATGTTGGGGCCTTTCGGCGAACTGCTGACACACGTCGTCAAAACGCGACAGCAAGAAGAGCCCCCTTGGTGCGCACGTGCACTGCTACTTGGCCCCTCGACTGCAGCGGCCAGGGACCAACCTCCTCCGCAACTACCTATCCCTGCACGGCTCTCGGGGAGGCAGAGAGCAACGGCCGTGCACAAACATCCGGCCTACAAGCACCCCGAGTTAAGGATTCTCTCGATCGCCTGCTGAGGGCCAAAAAAAGCATTTTCACTGCACTGCACGGTCGAGGAACAAATCGTCGCGGTTTTCCCGGATCAACTCAGCCGAAGCCGGTGCTGCTCGACACACCACGATCCCTGATGACCACAAGGCTACGTACCTTCGATGCAGAGTTGTGAGGGAGAAGACACCCGGTAAAATGAGGGCGGAGCGTGTGTGCGGTGTGTGTGGCACAGAGCCGCGAACAGGCCGCGGGGGTGCAGATGGGTCCCGGCAGATGGAAGGGTGCAACATCATCACATCATGACGACGACGCCATTTCGTCATTTTGTCCCATTTGGTGTGCCTCGGCGGTCACGCTCTCATCAGGGGGATCCCGTGAATACCGGCGGTAAACACACGCACACAACGAAACTTCACGCTTGCACGTGTACTTGATGTCGTCCCCTCGCTGCAGGCCACACGGGCGATCGCATCCGTTTTACAGCAGCCATTTTTGCTGTTGGTGAGCCTCGGGCAAACTATCAGAGGGAAAGGCAGAGTTCGTGTACTATAAACAGTGTACTGCTGCTATTGTTGTTGTTGTTGTTGTTGTTGCTGTTTCTCACATTACCTCTGTTGTCCACAAAAAATGGGGAGCCCGTGGTCTCAAAACCCGACACATACAACGCCCCGGGGAAACAAAACAAAGATAGGGTTTGTTGTTCGTTGTTGTTTTTCTTCACATTCTCGTGTCAGTTGCTAATCCCAAAATCTAGTAAAGACTCGGTCCGTGGTCACAAAAATGCTAGAGCCATGAGAAGATCTAAAGAACACACACACTATTAGGAAGAAAAGGGTACACAAGCCCGAGGAGGTACACGTGCAATCCCTACAGCACGTTTACGTGCTCACAACTGAACTGCACGCCCACACACTACAATTCGACTACAGTAGCAGCACCACCCCCCTTGTCCTGCATGTAACCGAAATGAATGTTTGTCGACTACAACGTACTGCTGTCTGAAGTGCTGTCTGTACAATATTAACACCGGGGTACAAACCACTCGGAAACAGAAAACAAAATGATAAAAAGGAAATACAGGTACCGGATACCGGACCGACCGTTCGAGCAACTCGGAAACCGATCAAAATATATGAAAACAAAAATAAAGGAGGACGCTTCCCACACCCGCCTAAAGAAAAATCGAAGGGTAACGTACCAGCACCAGGCACTACGCACCAGGGCATGGGAGTAACGGAGCAAACAGGACAGCCAGATGTACAAAAAACAAAAGCAACAGCAAAAGCGAGATCAAGGTACCCAACGGTATGTTCTTGTGTTCTCGAACACTCCAGAGGACACAGAGACGATCATGTTTGTAAGAAGGAAGATGCCGGGCAAAACGGAGGGTGCCGAGAGTCCAGCCGAAACCAAGGTTGAGTTTGGAATCTCCCTTTGGCGCAACACTGCGGTGCATTAGCTCGCTCGGGGAAGGACGAGATTTGCCACGACCGCGACACTGTTGTACCGAAAGATAGCACACACCCCTGGACTAAATTCCAATAAGCTCGACATATGCGTACTCCACGATGAAGAGAACGTCACAGGTGCATTTTGAGAAAGCTCGTGACGAGGCAATTCCAACGCCGCCATTTTCGGCACCGTCATTTTTTTCAAACTTTTGGCTCGGGGGGGCAGAGTGCGGGCTCTCTGATACATGTAACCGGTGCGGGTGTGTGGTATCCTGTGCGACCTACAAAAGACTCTGTACACAAGTAGACCGGTACTCGTCGGGTTGGTCAGGCTTTGGAGAGTTACGCGTCTCCGGCTAGCATAGGAAAGCAAAGCATCGCTCTCTTGCTCACGAGGACGAGATATGGAGGACATGTTCACTTCAAGAGACCACCGGAATGACGACGCGGAACGCATGTAAGAGGCCCCTACGAAAACCATGGGACACTAGACTAAACCTGTAATGGCAGGTTACATCTCCAGTCCTCGTCAATTACGTGCGGGACCAACCTTTCTGTGGGCTCCCCGAAACACCCTTTCTCACTCTGTGTGCACATTTTCTATCTCGTGTACGGGCAACTTCTGGATGCTGTGGATACCAAGACCGAAGTCCAGCAGCATCGTCGTCGTCCTTCGGCCGCATCCCCCCCCCCCCCCCCCCCCCCCCCCCCCCCCCCCCCCCCCCCCCCCCCCCCCCCCCCCCCCCCCCCCCCCCCCCCCCNCCCCCCCCCGCCCCCGGTCAACCCACGGAATGGTATACCTGGTTTGAACGTCAAACGCAGGATGATGGCCAGCTTCTGGTTCATCCTTGTGAAACGTGCGTATATCTGGATCGGCGAAAACCCGGCATGTCGCTCCGCCTCGGCGATGGTGGGATGCGAGATCAATGGTCTCAAGACTACTGTACGGCGTGCGGTTACATTGAGTACAGTCCGTCCCCGCCTCGGTACAATCGACACACCCTAGGCGGTCTCAAGACTACTGTACGGCGTGCGGTTACATTGAGTACAGTCCGTCCCCGCCTCGGTACAATCGACACACCCTAGGCGGTCTCAAGACTACTGTACGGCGTGCGGTTACATTGAGTACAGTCCGTCCCCGCCTCGGTACAATCGACACACCCTAGGCGGTCTCAAGACTACTGTACGGCGTGCGGTTACATTGAGTACAGTCCGTCCCCGCCTCGGTACAATCGACACACCCTAGGCGGTCTCAAGACTACTGTACGGCGTGCGGTTACATTGAGTACAGTCCGTCCCCGCCTCGGTACAATCGACACACCCTAGGCGGTCTCAAGACTACTGTACGGCGTGCGGTTACATTGAGTACAGTCCGTCCCCGCCTCGGTACAATCGACACACCCTAGGCGGTCTCAAGACTACTGTACGGCGTGCGGTTACATTGAGTACAGTCCGTCCCCCCCTCGGTACAATCGACACACCCTAGGCGGTCAGTTCCTCTGCGCAACACAGCCGCCTCAGCAACACCACCGTCCGGTCCTTCAGCCCCTTTCCCAAGATCACGGTGAGCTCGTCGTCAGATTGCGTGCTTCACCGGCCCGTCGAGACTTCGCGCAAACATTGCCCGACAGATCAGTAAACACGATCAACTCACGTGGCCGGCTATGACTGCCATAATCAAAAACGGAGGAGGTACGTAGGCAAACGGATAGAGCTATCACAGGTTACTCGACAGGTGGTCGAACCAGCATCCACGCGGCCGGCCCCACCAGGGGCACCGAAAACAAGGCTACCTTCGCCAGCTCCGGCTCAACGCCTCTCCGACGCATGTCCTCTCGGATGGGGTCGATGATCACCGTGCTCAGCACGCACAGGTCCATCGTGGAGATGTGGGCGAGCTTCGAGCTCCAGAACAGCTCCCCAAATGCCGAGATCGCCTCGGGGTCTTGGAAAGGGGGTGGGTTCGATGGGAGGGGTGTGGGTGGGGTCGGTTTGATGTTGCTGCCCTTCATCTTTTGCCAATTAGTTCGGTGCGAGTGCATCTCCAACCTGTTCGGAACGTCAAGGCATCCTCTTTTAGGTACCAGGAAAAGCGATGAGGTGGAATACAGCGAGGCGAACTTGGTAGGAGAGATCGACCGAACCACTCCGATGCTTCTAGGATGATTGAAAGGTCGACCTGTGAACCCATCGACAAGCGCTGGGGCATAATGCCTCACAGACGTGCTCTTCTCACCGTTGCTCATGGATTGGCACACACTGCTACACCGTCAAGCCTTACGGTCGGCCAAAAGATCCCTGTCCACTACTTCGCACATTATTCCACACCGTGTACAAACCGACCGACAAGCCAACTCTTGATTATAGACCAACAGAAGAAATACCCATAGTTTGGAGCGAAAATGAGGTACCCTGGCAACGACTACGTTCAGCAAATACTCTATATCGTCCAACAAGCCGATAGGATATAGGCGCCATAATGCATTCAAACATGATTGTCTTTCAGAACTGGTGAATAAGGCATGGCTCCACCCCAGAGTATATTTTCTGCGTGACCCCCGACGGCAGCTCATTCAACAGAGCACGCAAGGCCGTACCGCAGGCCAGGCAGGCGGATGTGTAAGAGGGATACAATGTGCTCGTGTACCTACCACCGTCGAAGCGTGCCGTCACAAAAAAGAAGGGAACGATGCAAACCCGAAAGACCGCGAACAGGGCAACGCTTCTTGCTCGAACTCACCGGTAAGCGCCGAGACGAGAGAAAATACCACGAACGCCGACAAGGCCAGCAGGGGCACGGCCAAGGCCTTGCTCGTGAGGACTTTCTGCGGGCGGTAAATTCGACATCGGCAAGCACAGAGCAGGTGAGACGCGCGGGACGTCCGAGACACGCGGAACGCGGGCGGGGGGAGGGAGGGGAAGCAGGTACACGAGCTCCACGGGCTGGAACGGCTTCGAATTGCGGTACGCCTTGGTGCCCCCATTTCTGCGTCACCAAGAACTTCCCGCGCAGTGGCGGTCGAAAGGCCGGCATTGCAGCGACGGGCTACTCTTGGCTGCCACACAATAAACCACGGCAGTATGCATCACAACCGAGCAAGGGACTCAGCCACCCGGAGAGCGCGCGCATCCGCTCTCAACAATTTCTTCCCCCGGTCTCGCTCATCGCCTCCGCGAAACATCCGCAACACCAGAGGCAAAAATTGTAAAGACCAAGATCAAAACCAAAGCAGGCCATCGGGAAAAACACACATAAGCAAACTCCCCCTTGACGCCCGCTCACGGGGTCCCAGATCAGGGCCTTCAGAAACATCGTGCCGCGCTGCGACTGACGTCGCTCCATTGGTCAGCCTCTTAGCGCGGTCGATGCCAACATGCAAGACACACACACACACGAGACAAATCACCTCCAACGTGGACATCTCCTCCCCTTCGTCACCCGCCGCCTGCGGGAGGTAGTTCCTTACGGCCAGGTAGGGCCCCAGCGAGAAGAACCCCAGCGCGAACGCCCCGAACACGAACGGCGGCGCCGGCACCGGCTGCCGCCCCTTCGCGAAGGACCCGCCGCCGACCAGCATGGACGCCGTGATGGCGGGCAGGAAGCCGAGCGCATTGAAGACGGCGGTGAAGATCGCCGTCTCAGGCATGACGGGGCCATCGTCTGTTGTTTCGGAGCCCGCCACGTTTTTGCATGCGAGCGCGCGGGGAAAGGATTGAGGATTTTTTAGGCAAACTCTTGGATGTGGGGGGCCGCGGGCGCTCTTGCTGTCACTTGAACAACCAGTGCGAGCTGGTTGCAGCCATGGAGCATTCCACGTCTAAGATGCAGGAAACCCGCGCGCCAGCTTTAACTATCCTACACAGCAGGCGGATGTATACATGTACTCCAGCAGATGCGTCGCGAAAAAAGCGCGACGTTCGCAGGCTAGGAGTAGTTCCGGCGCACGAGTCCACCCCTTGCCGGCCACAGGAGCGAGCAAATGCTTGCTATCGTTTGCCGCACGCAACAACAACAGGTGTAGCACCAGCAGTTGCGACGCTCCACATAGCTCACCAATAGTTGTCGGTGAAAAACACCTTCAAGCAGTCATGATCGAACCCACAACACACCCCACGGTGTGACCCAAAACCTAGCCAAGACCAGAAATGCGGCACAAGGTAAAGCGTATCAGCCGCGTCCCCCCCCCTCCTCGGCAGGGAACACTCACAAAGGTGCGTAACCAACTCGATGTCCTTGGGGTCGCCCGTTGCGCCGGGGGACCAGGGCCCGAAGGCGTAGATCGTGAACGGCAGCCAGATAGCCAGCAGCAGCGCCCGCCGCACGGCCGTGAGGTCTCTGCCATCGCCGTCTCGCCCTTCCCCTTCCCCTGCCCCCGACGCGGCCTACGGCAAAGAAGACAGAAAAAGTAAGTAAAAAAACGAACAAGTCCGGAAAGGGTTACACCCAACAGCTAAACATAAGAATAATCGGAATTGCGAGTAAAACATACACAAGGCACGTCGACCGCATACGCGTTCGAGGGGCTAGCACATGAACAGGTCGCGCAAGATGGTGGCGATACGCACACGTGTGTGCACCGTCACCGTCAGCTGCTCCTCACATCCCAGCCCCCTTCCGGAGACTTCCTGGGCTTTGCATCCCAGGTACGCATGAAACCGGCCGGCAGTCGGCAGCACTGCTCTGGATACACCGCAATAGTCCGGAGGTGTTTTCTCTTTTCAGCGAGGAACGCCGGAATAAATCCCGTGCTCTGATTTCCCGGGATCTTGGCTGCCGGCGGTGATATACCGCGGCAACCTTGTTCTCGCGGGATGTGGTCAAGGCTAGTCAATGCTGTCTGTTGGTGCTGTAGACAGCGCGGTCAGCCGGTTGCGGTGGTCAATGAGCACTCGGGAGGAAATAACTACAGCAGTACTGCCGTACTTTGATGGAATAGGCTGAAACTAGATTTTGCATGCCGATCTCCATCTGGCACGGCGACAGCCACGTCATCAACGATGCGCGAAAAATCGATACACAGCAGTGCGACACGTGGTGGCATCTACAAAACCTACCCACTCGCGAGAACAATTAATAGTCCAGGAAGAGATATTGAAGACAGTTTCATCATACTGCCGCCAGCTTCCGTTTCCCCCGATCACCACCCTCCCGGCAAGAAGTCTTTCGCATGGTACATCACCAAGATGCCTCTGACAGCGAAGAAGAAAGGAAACGAAGGTAATCCCGATTGGCACCACCCAGCGGAAGAGACATCGCCGCTCAGCGAAAGACGTTGCCCCGCAAGAATACCACTTGCGCATCAACCCAAAGCGTCCAAGCCACAAAAAGAAAGAAATCCTTCCGGGTCAACCCCCCCACCCTCTGCTCCCTCACCCCGACATTCGGAACCCCGCCCCTACTGTAGCGCAAAGAAAGCACCGGCAACCTAAACCTCTCGCAGATAAAACTCGGTTACCTTGAGAGCTCCCGCGGCGGTTTGTCTCCGAGAGTCTACCAAGCCGGCGGCGGCAGGTCGGGCACCTCGGGAAGCTGGACCGGCATCAGCGCCCTCGTCGTCGGCTGTTGTTGCGAAAGGAAGTCGGGTTGCCCTCAAGCACGTGGCGGGCGTGGTGCTTCGGAGTCCAACCGTGGTCGAGGCGGTGGCAGGGCAAGAAGGCGACTGGCGCAAGATCTGCTCGCGCGTGGTTGGGGTAGGGTGGGTGGGTGGGTGCGTGGGTGGGTGGGTGCGTGGGTGGGTGTGCGTTTATTATTTGCGTCGATCGCGGTAACCGGTTGACAAATGAAAAGGCGTCAGTCCCAGTGCGGCTGAAATGGAAGTGTTTCCAAATGCAACGGTCTGGGACCCTGTATGCGCGCGCGAGACAATTGGGCGTGGTGGGTGGGTATAACGAGGGTTTCGTCCAAACAACAGAACCACTACAACTAGCTCAACGTACGAATTCATTTGCCGTTTTCATCCTGAGATTTTAAGAAACCTCTCTTCTTGCCGTCCCGTCAACATGAAGACCTGGGATGCGCAACGCATGCATGCACCCACTGGCTCATTGTCGCGGCTTGTCAATGCATTTCCTGGCAAACTTTATCAGCATCCTCGTTTCGCCGGCGCCTCTTCCATCTGCTACGGCGTTGGCACTTGTCTACGAGTCTTCCTCCGCCTACCCGTCCCGCTCGAAAGACGGAGAGCCAAGACAATGCCTTCCCGGCAAACGTGCATACTTCCAACGCTTCGTATACAAATAATCGTTTGGAGCACAGCAACAACTCGCTAAACGCTCCATCAGTGGTATGTAGCGCCACCGGCCTCTCTGATTCGTGTACATGTGGTGAACAACGCGTCGCTGTGTACTGCCTGGGTTGCAGGAGTTGCAGACCAGGCAGCCGCACCACCGTACTGATTCCGTGACACGCGTTCCTAAACGTCGTGTGACGGCTCTCCAGTATACCCTTTGTGCCTCGCAAGACCCTTCTGCAGGCAACTCTGCTACTTATATGTGGTAGTTAGCGTTGTGCCGCGCACACCACACGCGGTCACCCCCAAAAGAGACACACATGTTGAGCGCAGCGAGGACGCCGGCATCGTATGTTGCTTAGGGGAGAGAGTCGCGACGCTTCTTGCGTCATAGCCACGTCTAGTGCATGCCACGATTGCCGTTTGGCGTACGGGTGTGATATGCATCACTGCTTTCATGCTACCGCTGGGTACGGCAGTCGTATTGTCTGCTCGACAGGTACTCACGGCTCCACCAAGAGGTGGGGTGTAGTTTTACGCCGTACACGATGACGTTTGCCATTCAAGACATGAACGCGGGGTCGATTTCGAGAAAATGGCCGCCAGAGGCCCTTTGCATCAGTCATCTACGCACGGATGTTTTGTTGTCCGGATCGTGAGGCAACGCTGTACGTTCGTAGATACGGTTTCCCGCCACTCACTGCAAAGACTCCTTCGAAAACACAACACACAAACTAAACTCTGATGTGAGTGCGGTGCTGCGCACCAGCAAACCTACGGCCTGCTGCTACACACACTTATTAGATCGCGACTCCAATTGTTTAGAGCAATATCGTCTCGGATAAGCACTCTGTTTCGATGCCACGTATATTTTTGAATAATCAAGAGCGAGCAGTGCACACGGCAGTGGCTTTGAGCGATGCCCACGCCGGGCCGCCGAGTCATGCCGAGTCATCGGACACCTGACAAGAGAAGTGGGTCTGTAATCGTAAGATTATGCACCGGCTTGCTGCGCAATCACACGAACACGCCCATTCCTGCTGTACCTGTCCCGCTTGCGTATCATCTTTTGGCTGCCCAACGGAGCTAGACAGGAGTTCCCCCCCTCCCAGCCGGCTACTGGGTCCCTGACGCTGCTGAGGCTGCAGGTGGAGACATCCTGGGAACATGTGTCGAAATCACGCAACTCCGTGTACAAGTGTACACGAAAAACAAAATAGGGTACACCAAATATTGCGCCAACATACCGTCTGCCTGGAACCAGGAACAACGAAACCGGTGCAAGAAGTAGCTAAGAGGACGGCGATGAGCCCTGTAGTAGAGTGGAGAGGCGCCATATGGTTCAGGTGTAGCACCAGACACCAGAGTTGTGAGTGGGTCAAGGCGGGTAAAGTGCTCGAGGGGGCGCATGATGGGGGAGCGCGGGGGTGCTGCTGGTTGTCCCTCTCGCGACGGCGCCCCACATATATTATGTACATACAGCAGTGCAGGACATAGACCGGTCGCCCCGGTGGTCTGGTGGGTATCCTCGCAGCCTGCTAAGGGTCAGGTCATGGGTTCGAGTCCCGACAGACTGAGTTTTTTCTCGCTAGTTAAATCCTGGTCTCCGTTGAAAGCGATGCGCTGCACAGCTCGTTAGTAATAAACTCGATCGACTTCGTAAGTCGCGAGGGAAGGCATTGCTGTACCCTTCTCGCGATAAAAATATCCCACGCAGGAACCGCAGGAGGGGGTTCAACCCCCCCCTACTATGTGACCCCGGTTGGGTCGTCTAGCTGGTAGAAGTGGAGGATAGGGGCCAGAGGGGCAGACGACAGAGTAGAGTCCAATGATGGGAGACAAAAAAAAAATACTTCGAAGTATAGACCTAGTCTACATAGACTGGCTAGTCTAGACTAGTATATATATATTTATGAGTCTAGCTGGTAGAAGTGGAGGATAGGGGCCAGAGGGGCAGACGACAGAGTAGAGTCCAATGATGGGAGACAAAAAAAAAATACTTCGAAGTATAGACCTAGTCTACATAGACTGGCTAGTCTAGACTAGTATCTATATATTTATGAGGACTAGGACATTTTCTGGCGATCCAGCACATGATGGCACGACAGCAGTGTTAGCTAACTACTTCGAAGTACTGTAGAACCACGGGAGGGGGGGATGTTAGACACTTTGAAGAGGTGCTGTACACAAACATGGGGGCGATGGATTAAATCGAGTGTAATAGCACCACCAAGCAACCACTACAAGCACAACAACGACGGACGACGATGAAGATGCAACAAGATATGGCGTTGTTCAGGTAAGCAAGGTGGCCAGGTAGAGTAAACCGGCCAATTAACGAACGCTTAAGCCACCCCTCGCGCCAACAGCTCGTTCTCGGGCATGAAGAGGAGTATGATGTATTTGTGGGTACCGGACGATAGCTTGTATT